GAGTAAGACGCTCCCGGTGCAGTGGGAGGCAAAAGGAAGCGGAGACTGATGAGCGCCCCGGCCCCGGCCTGCTCTGCTCCTGGGCAGTGGCAACTTGCTTGCCTGGCCTTCCTGAAAGGGACTCATCACCAGTCACCAAAGGATCAAGCTCTGTACTGTTTTCTCCTGGCTCTCTCATTCCTCATGGGGATTTTCCTGAATCACCATACAGTTTTAAGATTTCATCATTTGGGATGTATCTGACTGTCAGTGCCCCCTTGTTTCAGTTACGGGTACCTCACCCACATGAGGGCACTTCCTCATCATGTCCCAGTGCCATCTTCCAGATCTTCCCACCCTCTGATCTGAAAGAGGCTTTCTTTGCTGGGCTGCATCATGCGAGCTCCGGGACGTGGGGCTGCACACGTTTTAATTTCAGGTGCTGACCAGTACCACCTCTGGTGGCCGTTTCTGTTGCCAATCATGAGAGCACCTCCAACTCTGCTCGTGTGTGGCATTAATGGGCCGGTTCAGTGGTGCACCCCTCCGACACGGGGCCTAGGTTTTCTTCCATGTGACCTGCCTGCCCCTATCTGGTAGGTCATCTTCGTGGAGGTGGGGCCTGGATGTGGGGTCCTTGGACTGAAGACTTATTGAGGGAGTGGTCTTCAGGAAAAGTGGATGGGAGGAACAGGATCAGGCCAGGGAAGGAAGAGGCAATAGGGGTCCCAGGAAAGGTCTGGTCCTCAGGGGTTCTGGGGCACCAAGTCCACCAGAGTGGATGCACTTTGAGTTAGGGGTCAGTTTTGCCATCCTTGTACCAGTGGGTCATTGTTGTGGGCTGTTACTTCAGGGGGTAAAAGGCCATGTTAGGTAGGGACACTTCTCCAGAGAAGAGAGAGATGTGAGCTGTCCACACTGATGGCAGTGGGTTAGTGCCCAATAAAGGGGAAGGGGAGAGAGCACTGTGTGTCTGAGAGTCCACCCCTTGTGCACTGACTCACAGCCACTCCACAATTCTACGTGATCATTGTTATGGGTTGAATTATGTCCCTCTGAAATTCATGTATTAAAACGTTTTCACTCTAGTAGGCTGAGGCAGGAGGATCACAAGTTTAAGCCCAGCCTGGACAACTTAGGGATTTAGCAAGACTTTGTCTCAAAATAAAAATAAAAAGGAATGGGGATATAGTTCAGTGTGAAGACCCTGAGTTCAATCCCAAAGTATAGCAAAAAAAAAAATGTTGTTTTTTTTTAGTTGAAATATATCCCATGCGCTGTTTAGGACATATCCACACCAAAATAACTAACTAATTAATTAATTAATTTTTGGTACCGGGAATCCACTTCAGGACTTTTCATTTGCCAGGCAGGCACTATACCACTGAGCTATGTCCCTGGCCTGCTTTATTGTTTGTTTGAAATGCAAATTTAGGTGTGTACCTTGTATTTTTATTGGCAAACCCCTAGTAACTCAGAAAATAACTGAATTTGGAGATGGGGCTGAGGAAGAGGTGATCCGTTAAAGGAGGTTGTAAGGATGAGCTGTAACCCGAAGTGACCCGCGTCCTCGCACGGCGAGGAGAGGAGGACTCGCAGCGACAGGCAGGCTGCGCATGCGCAGAGGACGGCAGCCAGTGGGTATCAGCTGCAGGCCAAGGAGCGGGACCACAGAGGGGACCAGCCCTGCCCGCATCTTCTCCTGGATTTCCTGCCTTCAGCATTATGAGCAAAGAAATATATGTGGCTTAAGCCACACAGTCTGGCAGTTTGTTACGCAGCCACAGTGGACAAAGACGGTGACCATCACGTGGAATTTCCAAGGCTGGCTAGTGACAGCTGCTGCTGAGTGGATGGCGAGGCTGTTCCGGTGCTCACAGCCTCCCTCTCCCCCCATTGCACAGTGTCCTTGTCCTCAGCATTTCTGTGGACCCCGGGGCTTCTGTTGGTGGGGCGATCCCAAGACCTCATGTCTGAGGGATCAGAGCCCCTGAAATTCAAACGCACCCCTCTCTGTCTCAGCTGCTTATCTCCTTGTGATTTTACCCCTGTGGGGTGAAACTGCCACATGCATGAATTTGGAAGCGGACTGGCCTGGCTGAGCCTTCAGAGGAAATTGCAGCCACAGCCAACATCTGAAAATTTTTTGATGCATACACAGAACATATTGCGAGCATATGGACCCCCTGTAACATCCCTCCCTCTTACCCCCTTCCTCGTGTATAGTAACAGCCTTCCTTCTCCTTTCAGGTCATCTCTTCTTTTTCCTTTCAGATTCCACACATTAGAAAAACGTGACCCTTGTCCTCCTGTGTCTGGCTTATTTTGCTTAACGTATGGATCCCCAGCTCCATTCATTTTCCTGCAAGTCATAGAGAAATATATACGGCTGTTACTAGGTGGGCCTTGGTATTTCCTTTTTTTTTTTTTTTTTTTTTGTTTTTCTCCGGTACCGGGAACTGAACTCACGACCTTGCACTTGCCAGGCAGGCGCTTTGCCGCTGAGCTAAATCCCCAGCCCCGGGCCTTGGTATTTCTGATCTTCCTCTCTTGTTTCTTCCGGGCCTTGGTATTTCTGATCTTCCTCTCTTGTTTCTTCCTGGTTCCTGACTAAATGATGAAACCATCTGCTTAGCCCAAGAGTCTATAGTCTTCCCTTCAGTCACTGTCTTTTTCAAAGTGGTTAACCAAGTGCCACTGGAAGGATTGTCTTTCAGGGTCTCCCCTGGGTAGGGCTTACTATGGTATAAGTGTCTCCCAAAGGTCCACGTGTTTTAGTAAAGGCGTTGCCCCCAGCTGGTCCTGCTGGGGAGCAGTGAAACCTGATGGAAGGTCTTTAGGTCCCTGGGCATGTGGCCTAGAAGGGGCTTTGAGACTCCAGTCTCTTTCTCTCTGCCAAGTACTCCCTGCCATGATGCGCCGCCCTGGCCCAAAGCAATAGGGCCAAGCCATCATAGAGCAATACCTCTAAAACCGTGGGCAAAAATAACCCTTTTCTCTTAAAAGTTGATTGTGCTGGCTGGCCATTCACTGTAGTTGCAGAAGAGACTAAAGCAGGGTTATTGTGAAGCAACATCTTTTTTTGTCTTATACCAGCATGGTGCCAGGCTGAGCTGCTCATGCAACAGAACATGTGGCTCAGGGCCACCTGTTCATGCACTTACTTGCACCACTTGCACCTTCCTTTTTTTTTTTTTTTTTTTACTTCATGGATTTTTTTTAATGGTACATTTTAGAAATACATAATGATCACATTCATCATGTAGGGAAGTGGTACCTGTCCATGATATATCTTACTTCTTTTTTTCTCATTCCCCTTCCCTCCCTTCAGCCCCTCTTCCCCTCCTTATTCACAAAGGCTTCCTGAGCCCAGGCTAGATAGATACCCCACTTCCATCTGACGAGGGCTTGTTGTGGGTCCTGCCGACCTCATGCCTTGGTGGACGACAGTGGTCAGTTACGAAGGGCAGCTCTGGCCTCATGGCCACATGGTGCTCCATGTTCAGCTGCCCCTGCCAGGGCCGTTAGCACAGCAGGAGCTGTTTTCCTAACAGTGTGCACTTCCTTCCTGGAGAGAGCATGGCTGTGTCCCAGAATTTTAGTGGTCTGCTCTGTAACTTCCTCACTGGGGCTTGCCAGGAGCTTGACATGATAACCTTATCAGCCACACATACTTTTAACGCCATGGCGTTTGCCTAGCCATGTGGCTGAAGTAACACTGCTGTTTCAACTGCTGCTGTAGAACCCTTAGTGCGTGGGGCCCCACTCAGAACTACCACATGGACACCAGGGGGGAGCTCAGTGGCAAAGCACTTGCCTGGCATGTGTGAGACCCTGGGTTTGCTCCTAGCACCACAAAAAAGAAAAAGAAGCACATAATAGATGCTTAATAAATGTTCCCTTCTCCAGGCTAATGGAGCTTCAAATACAAATGCCTTCAGACTAGAGTTTCTGGATAAACTATAGGAAGCCCAGTTACACTGGAATTTTTGATAAATGATGAAACGAAAAAAATTTGTGTAACTATATTCCACACAATATTTGGGATATGCTTACATTAAATTATTTGTTGTTTATCTGAAATGCAAATTTAACTGTTTTTATATCTATACATTATTTTGTATATGCATACAGATTATATGCTAATATACTATATATGTCAGTGTGTATGTATAGGCAGTTAATAATGTAAGACAACTTGATGTGCTGGCTGGGGAACATGGAGAATATACTTAGAGTTATTGCTCCAATGAGAAATAATCAGCAAAGTAGAAAAGTAGAAAAAAGGCGAAAGTATCAGATTTGGTTGGAGCTCATGAATTTTCAATCCAGTGAGTTTCAGATAGCTGAGCTCTGGGGCCTGACTGCTGGGGTCTGATCCTGGATCCAGTGCTCACAAGCTCTGTGATAGTTGAGCACCAGCATCCCATCTCTGTGGAGAACAGATGAGTTCCCTGCAGCACAGGGTGGCACTGGGTCCATAGTCACTGCTGCGGAGTTGTGCTTAACCCTAGGTTGGCCGCTAGGAAGAAAGTGTACAGCAGCTCCCTCCAGTGGACACAGAGCAAAGTGTGAGTGCAGCTTTGAGGTTAGATGGCTTCCAGAGTCAGGCTGGTCAGGCCCCAAACTCTTAGGGTTTCAGTCATTTACATATCATCTCCATGACATGCCACACACCAACCCGCATTCACTTACTTAATGTGTCTCTGTAAATTGTTTCCTTATTTTAATTCGAGAAATCTGATTTTAAGATTTAATTATTTTAAGTTGAAAACACCAGAATCCACTAAGATAACCACAAAATAGATATGTTTCCTGCATCATGGGGTGAGAAGAATTGGAGTCTTCTCTCTCACTAGCTCTCTCCTGACTGAGCAACAGCCTCCCACTTGTTAAGGTTGATCAGATTGTGTCCACTGGAGAAGTTTAGAAGCTTACTAAATTGGCTCAGCAATTCGACACCACAGGGTATAGGAGACCCACCCTAGGGCGGCTCGTCCTCTGGATGATATAAAGGGGGAATAAGGAAGGATGGACTTGATTGTGTTCTTTGGAGGAGCTCCAGTCTTCACCTTCAGCTTGGACATCATCTCCTGGCTTCCAGCGCAGACTCTTCGGCCTTCTGATACAGAAGGCACTGCAGCGAGCTCTGGACCGTGGACCGAATCCTTCTGTCTCCAGGCTGCAGACTCCCTCTGCACGCTTCCCGATTCGACTCTGTGGGTGACCATCGTAAGCCAATCTTGTAATTTCTTGTACATTTGTAAATCCTGTGTTATATCTATTTCTCTAGTAAATGCGGACTGACACACCATGTATTCAAGACAAGCAAGCTCTCTACTGAGGGATTATTCTTGCTGCAATCAGAAGAAAGAATAAAGCATTATAAAGGGGGGAAAGACATTGCCTGTCTCAATTCAGAGTTCTTTCTTGCTGTGTCTGGCACCGTCTGAAGTCATCTGACACATCAGCACAGTGGGAGACAGTGACAGGGGCAGAAGCAGTGCTCTTGGAGGCAGCTCCCCTCCATGTCTACTGGAGTGTTCTTGTTTTTATCTGGCTTGATGCAAGTGGCAAAAAAAAAAAAAAACCAAACAAACCCCAAAAAGAAAGACAAATCACAAGAACAACAATACAAAGGCAACGCACCATCCTGCAGCAATTTGCGCCTGCCAGGGTGTTGAAGAATTTAGCTGAGGAGAAAAAGCCGTGGGCTTAGGGGAGATTGCTCCTGGCCTGGGCTCTGGCCGTGGAAGGGCATGTGTGGGGTAGGTCTGGGATGGAGAGGTGCAGAATGCCTTTTTTTTTTTTTTTTTCCGGTACCGGGAATCGAACTCACAACCTTGCGCTTGCCTTGAGCTAAATCCCCAGCCCCACAGAATGCCTTTCAATTGTGTCCCCAAATTCTTTGCTGCTCTCTCTTCAAGAGGAGTCTAACTCTCCCCTGCTTCGTGGTGGGAGAGTTAGTGACTCTCCTATCGTTAACAGAATATGGCTGAGAGCCACAGCGAGTGACTCCTGATAGCAGGTCTGGTCCTAAGGCCGGACTTGAGCCTCTCTCTCTTCATTTGCTTGGGGGTCCTAAGGTCGGACTTGAGCCTCTCTCTCTTCATTTCCTCCCTGCCGTGAGGACACAGCCTGGTGGAGGGATCCGGGCGGTCAGGAATGAGAGGCCTCCCCTCAAGGCCTGGGGTAAGCCGTGGTGGGTCTTCCCACCCTGTCAGGCCTTTGGGTGATGCAGGCCTGGACGTATCTTGACTGCACCTGCCCCGGAACTGGAAAACTCAGCAAAGCTGTTTCTACATTCCTGACCCACAGAGACCGGGAGGTAGTCCTTGTTTGCTGTTTTGAGCCGTGGAGGTTTGGGACGCACTGTTATGTAGCGATAGCTAATAATTCAAGGGGAAATGAAGGAAGCTGAGTTAAGCTCTAGCGTCAGTCAGATGGTGCCTTCCTGGAGGACATTTTCACCAGACACAGGACTGTGGAAAAATCTCCCATCTCACAGTGTGGAAGGCTGAGTCCCCACGAAGAGGACGCCATGCAGTGAGTTCCACTGAGGCACTGCTGTCAGTGCTTATGAGGGCGGTGGGGTTGTGGCTGGCCGTGCCCACTTTGCATTTGGGGCCACACGCAAGTGGGACAGCACGTGGACCAGCATGTAGCCCCTGTACCTGCTCCATTGCCTTCTCCCAGGTGCCCACCAGGGGGCAGCCTTCCCCGCACTGCTGCGTCTTTACCCTTGGAGCTCACAGCTGGAGAGAGCCTGAAGCAGGTTCCGGCTGTCTTTGTTCTTTCTTCACTTCACAACCGCTTTCCTTTCTTGCGTGCCTGTCCTACTGGTTTCGCTGTGCATCAGACACAAGGACAACAGCCTAACACACACCACGGAGCCCACTTCCGCAGCTGTGTGACGTCAGAGTCCTATAATAAATCCCTCTGTATGTACATCAAACCTAGAGGTTCTGTGTCGATGGAGCCTTGACCAGTGCTGACCTATATTGGTTGTTGTGCGCTGAAGTCAATGATTCCTTCTGGGAAAATTCTGAAGCTAATGCTAGGCCTGGAGGCGCACGCCTGTAATCCCAGCGCTCGGGAGGCTGAGGCAGGAGGATCATTGCAAGTTCGAGACCAGCCTGGGCTACAAAGTGAGCTCAAGGCCAGCCTGAACTGCATAGCAAGACCCTGTCTCAAGAAGACAAAAAAATTTTTTGAAGCTAACACTGGGCAGCCACATTTCATGAGCACCTATTATGTGCCAGGTACTGGGCATAATTTTATTTTATTTTATTTTTTTCACAAGCTTTTCCTTTTATTTATTTCTCTTAAGACAATCACGAGAAATAGTAGCAACAGAGAGGTAGCAAAATAGCAAGTAAACCATAATCCAGATTATGTGTAAGATTAAGCATATAAAACATATCATGAATACACAGAAAAGATTAGAAAAATATAGCTGAAAATTGCTAATAATGGTAATCTCTGGGAGTGGAATTGAGGTGATATTTATTGCTTATGCTTTTCTACACTTCTTCAATTCTACACTGACACTGAGGCCCTCCAGAATCCAACCCTGTGCTGATGTTGATATGGCAACCATGCAACATTTGGCTTATTTTTCATATGCTAAGGAAGATAAGCTACTTGATGGTTGTCTATGACAACTGTCAAAAGCCCCAAACACCACAGAGCACTGGGACATGGGCCTGGACATTCTCTGGGCCACTGGTCCAAACGCTGACCTCATCCTCCACGGGCTGGCCTTGAGATGGAGCTTCCGGGCTTTGTTTCAAGCAAAACAACATACTACACCGTGGCTCACATGCCAAGGAATAAGAAGTTCTCATCCTAGTCTTTACAAACCAGTCAGATCCTAGATACTCACACGAAGCTAGGGCTCAGCCAAAGTAACTGGAGATACTTGGAGGTCTTTCCAGATGCTTAAGTTTTATTAAGGTTATTTCTTTGGCATCTAGTATTGAAAGTAAGAGAGAATAAGCACATACACACTTTGTAGAAAGTTAAAGCCCCCGTCGATACAGGCTTGGCAGAATTGTTATTTTTCTCAGGTCTGGACAGAGTCAGTCCCTTCACAAGGCAGGGGACTGGATCCCATGATATCTGTGGGCCTCAGACAGACTGTGACCCTGGCTTCCTTGACCCCTGTCTTTTCCGCATCTCCACATCTGACCAGTCCCCAAGTTCTGCTCTTTATCATCCCCTCCTGAACACGTCCAGGATCCACCCTCCCTGTCCATGATTCCCTCCTGCACCTTGGCTGGGACCACAGTCCTCTCTCACCAGCATTGCTGTACCAGTCCTACCCTTGACTGGTGTCCCCAGCTCCAGACACCAACCTTCCCAAGCCTATCTTCCCCTGACCTCTAGCTGGTCATAGCCCTTCTCGGCATGATCCCCTTGTGTGACTTCTAGCCAGCCTCAGAATAAAGTCCCACTTCCTTGGCATGACCTAGACCTCCGGGTCAGTCTGCCTCACACCACACACTCCCCAACACCCCATCTGCCTTCCCCCAGCAGAACCACTACTCTACCATGCTTAACTCATCTCTCTGCTGCTGCAGCTCCAAGCTAGATCACGCATCCCACTGTCTCGTTTACCTCACTAACCCCTACCCACCCATCCCATGGGGCCTAAGGCTGGATGTGACCGTCTTTGGATACACGTTCCCAGTCTTCTCCTAAGAATGGATACTCCCTTTATGGATCCTACAGCAACCTTGGGATAAAATTGTGCATTTACTCTCTCCCCTATGAGTCCCTACATTCCTTCTGATCATGGACTGTATCTTGTTATCCTTGGTCCCCTAACACTTAACACACTGCCCAACACATCAAAGGTATTCATTTAACACTGACTCAGAAAGAAGCAATATGTTCAAGAGCTTGACATTTCTCAAAGACAGATCCTCCACCCATCCTCAAATTCCCTGGCAGAGACTTCTGAGTGGTGGTGGTGGTGTTTTGATTTTTTTTTTTTTTTTGGTTTGGTGGTACTTGGGATCAAACTCAGACCTACTACATGCTAGACAAGCACTCTGCCATTGAGCTATACACCTTTAGTCTGGGCATAATTTTAATGCTGCATGTGGTACCATGGTGCCCTTTTATCTTTTTTTTTTTTTTTGGTACTGGGAATCGAACTCAGAACCTTGCATTTGCCAGGCAGGTGCTTATGCCACTGAGCTAAATCCCTGGCCCCATGCCTTTTATCTTGCAATGATGAAATGATTTGTTGAGATGTTAACCAAGGAAAGGGGCAGCATAAATAATGACAACTGCTTATGTTTCTTGAGTCCTGACTATGAGCCAGGCTCTGTGATACGAACAGGGTTTACATGCGTTGACTGATTCAGTCCCCACAAAACCTCCCTGAATCGGGTTCTGCAGCTATCCTCATGTCGCAGAGGAGGTGGCTGGGGCTCAGGGAGGGGAGAAGGGCTGGCCAGTGGAAGAAGTGGTACACGCCGCCTGGCCCTTCATGAGGTCCTGCCCATGCGCCAGCCCTCACTGCCCTGTCCTGGTGAGTGTGGTGACTATGGTAACTATGGTGACAGCGCAGTCACGTGGTTCCAAGGTGGAACACGGAGTGAGCATGTGAGTGAAGACTCAAGTTTTACTGTTATACCACAGAGGAGTCAAGGCTGCTTTTTACTGCAGGCCAGTCTTGCTCTGTTCTAATGAAGTGTGGTTCTAATGAGTGCGGTTCTTAAAATGTGAGCAAGTGCTGAGATGTTACCATTGATGATAACTAGTTTTAAAGAAGGGAAAGGATGAGTTAGAAACAGGAGAAGGAAAGTAGGTGGCAGGGAAATTGCTGAAATTTTTATGATGCAGAGTTGGGAGAGAAAAAGGAGTCTGGAAGAAGACATACACAGAGTCTTTGGGCCAAAAGGTAGCGGTGGCGGGGAGACATTAAATGGTTGCAGCTGGAAATTAATGATCAGGGGTGTGACGCCTTTTGCAAGGGTAGGAATTTAACCCCATTCTTTCCCCCACTGGCTGACACTGGAGGCAGGTGAGGCTCTGAGTGGCTGATAATTGCTGATTCCCGGCCTTTTCCTTTCCCTGCTGGGCGAGACTGAATGCTTTCTTCTAAGATCAGAAGCGCTGCAAGGATTTCCACTCTAGCCACTTTGATTTAACATTGTACTGCAGAATCTAACCAGGGCAGTTAGGTGAGAAAAACAAATGAAAGCTTTCCAGATTGGAAG